AGTTTACCATTATTGAATATTTTATATATATATCTTTATTGAATCTATAACCATTGTCAAGTTTTTAGTGTCGTTGCTGAGGAATTAAATCTTCTAGCAACAGTATTAAATACCCTTATATTTTGAAGCATATATAAAGTCGTTGTCTTTTAGCTTGGTCCAAAGGAATGGCTTAATGGTTGTGGTGGTCTTTGGTTGGCCAATTTTGCTTGATTAGGTCTATTTTTGGTGAAGGGGTCTATGTGGGTCAAAATGGCTAAAGGTTGGGTTTGGGTTAGGCTAGCCATGATTTTGAGCCCAATTAATTGATCAAAATTATGTAGATGATTGTAATGAAGATTTTATGTGAAGGATTGAATTGATTTTGAGCTCAATTGGGGGTTCAATTTGAAGGATTTTGGAAATTTGGTCACTTTGGGCATGTTGGGCAGGACTTGAGTCTAGATTGGGCTAAGCTTGGACTAAGTCAAAATTTATTATTGAAAATAGTCAATAGGAATGTCATGAAGAGTTTTCAACATAAATTGGGTGACAATTTTGGGGCCAAGGCTTTCAATTTGGAGAAATTTGGAGACATAGCCAATTTGGGGGAAATTTGGGGATTCTTGGACTTGGGTCAAAATTAAATGAAATTGAGGCTTCATGAAGGCCAATTGAAGGTCAAGTTTGATGTGTAGGAATATTATGAAGAGTTTTCAACATAAATTGTGCCAAATTGAGTAGGTTATGAGGTTCAATTTGGTGGGATTAAGTTATGTAGCCAAAATTGGGGATTTAACTTAGATCAAAATTGAGCTCAAAGCATGGGCAAATTAAGCTTTAATTTGGTCTAAATTGGTCATATGAAAGGTGAATTTAAGTTTAGGATTGATATTGAATAAATTTGGGCCCAAATTGATGGACATTTGAGGTGAATTTAGGGAAATTGGGCCTTTAAAGACAATTCGGTGGTTTTCGTCAAAATGGTCAAATGGGCCAAATTAGGTTCAATGGAAGGGTTCAAATTGGTTTTGGAGACATTTGGAGTGATTTTGGATGTTTTGGGAAAGTTTGGGGTCCGAGGGTATTTTTGTAATTTTGTCAATTTTGGGGGTATTTCAATTTTGGGGGTATTTGTAATTTTGTCAATTTTGGGGGTATTTTGATACATTTGGAATTTTGGGTGGTTTTGGGCAATTTGGGTATTTTCAATAGGTTTGAAATAATTTTTGAACAAGTTTGCATATTTTGGGTGAATTTGAGAATTTTGACCAAATTTGGGATTTGGGGGTGTTTAGGTAATTTGGGTAGGTTTCGGGGTGAAAGGTCAAATTGGATCTTTTGGTAGGGTTGGGGTATTAACCACCCTACATGAGTTATGGACCAATGGAATCCCCATTTGGATCCTCTCTGTACTGGTCTTAGCTAAACTCTAGCATAGGGCTAGTGGGTTTAGGGGACCATCTACATGAGTCTCCCAAAGGATCAAGGGATCAGTCAACAAATATTGGGTTTAGGGTTGCGAGGGATTGTTAGTGAGAGTGAGTGAAAGTGAGTGCCTTAGCTCAAGCAATCCTATGGGAACCCACCTTGAGCTTCCCTATACTGACCCTACCTACTAAGTGTTAGAGGTTAGGACCAATATGTGAAAATTAAAGTTGAGCAAGGAGTGTAGAATTTCTAATGGTGAGCGTTCCTTTTCTAGTTTTCTAAGAATAGTCAACAGGAAAGTCCTATGGCTAGACCCTAGACAATTAAAGTAGAAAAACTAAATCTCAACTAAAAATGAGGTCAACAGATCTCTCCAAATAATCAATATGAATAATCCTATTATATTTTAGACTCTATTTTACATTCTTATGAACCTGATTACTACATCACTTTTGTTGGCTAAAAAATTTAAGAGAATATAGCATCAACTATATCGTACATGTATATTGGACTAGAAATAATTACAACTCAATGTGATCATATTATTTATAGATTTGAAGGATGTGTAAGTTTGTTTGCTTAATTCACACTCACACCATAATTGATCCTTAGAATAGCCAAACTTTAGAACCCTACTGCTTGCTCATGTATAGATGATATTTATATAGTATGCTTGCTAGTACAAAAATATTTTCTATACCATATATATAGATTATTAGAATAAGCTTTTAAATATTTCATATAATCAACCAGTAGAATATTAAATTTTAATAGAAAGATGTTATACTTGAAAACAATAAAATAAAAGTTCCCATTCAGCTTGATTAAATATGGCATAAAAGATAATTGATTGTACTAGCTTTTATAAAGTTATCTAATGCTAATTAGAATTTGCTTTAACGGATAACAAGTAGAACCTTTTTGATGGCCCAAGGGCCACAGTTATTGGTGATAACTCTAACTACTTTGATTTAGATAGTCTCTTATTGATGCATATCCAACATCTTTTAGTTCTAGAAAAGCAAATAATATCCAATATTTCATCAGATGCCTTGAGCAAATGTTAAATACCATCTTAATTTGTTAATTCTAACGTGAAGGCAAACTTTCATAATAATTCAATCTACCAGTTTTGAAACCTAATTAGTTTGAATACACTAATGAAATGAATCGTACACACACACACACACACACACACACACACACACACACACACACACACACACACGCACACAAGCGCGCAGCGGCGAGA